GGTGGGGGCCAGGTATTCCAAGTGTTTAAAGCTTCCCAGGTGGTTCCAATGAGCAATCAAGGCTAAGAGCCATTGCTTTAAACCCTTTTCTGCAGAATCACAAGTTTCTCATCCTATTCTTACAAAGTTGATATTTAGATCTAAATACAGTAATTTGCATTTTAATTAAAGTTGCTTTTCAATCCTTTCAGATTCTGTCTCCAGCATTCATTATATTATCAAACCACCTTAGCTTTGTGCTGAGCTGAAAATCTGATGAACATTGAAATCAGTATTTTTCACTTTTTAACTGCTGTTTCCTTATATTATATATAAAATTTACATCACTAAGTTTCTGATGTACCTCTTTGTGGAAGATACTTCACCCACTTCCTCCAGTTAGAAGTTCCTAAATGAAGTTATATCTTCTGTAAATCCTCATCAGAAGAGAGGATGTTTTTAAACTTCACTATTATCTGAATTGTGTAAACTTTTAAGCTTTCAAATACACAATTATTTGATAATATTTCAATGAGCTTTTTCAAAATAACACTCAAAATCTTTCCAAATATACCACACTAATGTAAAATGTTCACAAGGGATACTGTGGGGGGGGGGGGTATACAGAAATGCTCTCTACTATCTTTGTAACTTTTCTGTAAATCTAAAACTATTCTAAAGTCAAAAGTTCATTTCTGTTAAAAAAAATACCCACAAGATTCTAATGTGCACTGCTAGTTCTATCCTTACCATCAAACACAACTGCATTTGAGAATCATAATATGTATCTTATAAAAAATAGTGCTCAAAGTCTCCAGTCCATTTCTAGAGAATTTTTGTCTGAAGCGACAGTCATTATGGGTAGGCATTAAAGTTAGATCAACTTCTGGTTCTGCCACCATCTAGTTGTATGACTTGAGTTAGTTATGTAATGTTTCTGAACCTCATTATTTAATAATTGAACAAAAATAATACTTGAGAATTAAATAACCTAATATACATAATACGTAACACAGTGGCTGGCACATATTCAAATAATAATTATTAATATTATTCATACTATCTTATCGTGAGCTAAAAATTCAGCCAACTGTATGATCCTCTGGCCCGTGTTGCCTGATCTTGGGCATGTGCATCATGGCTGGCTTTGTAGTCTTGAGATACAAAGAATTCCTCTCCCCTCTCAGCTGGGATAATGGAAAAAGATCTCCAGGGCTCTGGTATCAGACAGGCCTGAGGGGAAAAGAGTGGGCCTGGTCAGAAAACCTGTGTTAAAGACCTGCCTTTCTTCTGTATTATCTCCATGATATTAGACAAGATATTTAACATCCTGAGAATTTTCCCATCTGTAAAACTGACAAAATAATAGCTGTCACTGTCCTCCAGAATATCTTGGTGAGGATGACATGAAACAATGTCTATAAGATTGCTTTGATATTGAGATCACTAATATATAAAACATAGATTGCATCTAATGATCATTATCATTTGTTATTAAAGGACCTTAATTTTTTTCCTTTCTGTATTCCCCTCACGCACCAATACTCAAAATCGGCTTCAAAATCTTCCATTGAATTTCAGTGTGGACTCTGCAAGCTCATACTTCTAGAGTTATAATTTATAATATTCTATGTTTTTAAAAAAGTATTACAGATTTTGCCCAGTTCCAGTTTTAAGGGATCTCCCTTTACTTTAATATCCCTCAAGTGGACCATGTTTGCAACTTTTCTCAATTTGAGGATAGGTAGTGAACAACATTAGGCATCTGCAATTCACCTGAGTCATGCAGCAGTTGCCTCTCATTCTTACTTGAGAATGTTTGCTCTTTTCACTGGTGGGTCATAGAAAGAGCACTCCTATAAAGAAATGTAGACTTGAGTATGATGTTCGTAAATAATTGCAAATGAAGAAAACAATATAAACCATATGGTGACATCACAGAAGTTAAATGTCATTTTGTGATAACAACAGATAACATTTATTGAGCCTATACTGTGTGCCACGATATTAAGTTATATATCTATGTTATTCAAGTAAACCATTAAGAAGTGGTATTCATCAAGCTTATTTGCAATTGATTTATCCAAATTCCAAGTTTGAGAGCTTTTACTCCTTGCATTATCTTTTTTTCTTATCTTTGTCTCTCTGAATTACCTTTTATACTTTTCTTTTCCCTATATCTAAAACCTGCAGTTCTAAATCCTGTCCCTACCTCAGATTTTTTTTTTTCTGGAGTAACTGAAAATTCTTAGTTTTCTCTCAGAGCTTCTCAAACTTCCATTCTATCAGCATTTTTTCCTATTGAGATTTAAGCCCCAAGTAAGTTTCTGAAACCTCATTATATCTACTAACTTATTTTAAATTTTCATTTAAATTTAATTATAGCGATCTTAACCAATTATTAATAGATAAAATATTTTAGTGAGGTCATGATAAGCATAATCTTAATAAGATACATAAAAATAAATTGTGTTTTCTTTGCCTAAAATAAGAGTAGAATGGTTTTGAAGAGAGATTCTCAAGAGCAGTGAAAAAAGGACAAATCTATCATAACCTCTTACAGCAGATGATTGCTTTGAATTACTTAAACAGACTTTGGCAGTCTAACGTTCCTTCTCAATGCTGCTTTATAATCAAAGTGTGCTGACATGCAAAATTTCTGTAAAAAGAAGGAACTTCTTTTCTCTTTGCTGTTAATAGTATCAAAATTCTCCTTCCTGGTAAAAAGTACAGCATTCATATCATTGTTATCTTTTTTCTTCTTATAATAATAAAAATTTAAGATGTTTTTAAAGACACTGCATTTAAAATACATAGAACTCTTTTTTTTTAATAAGAAGACAAGAAGGATAAGCACATAGAGTCATACCTTGTGGCACATGGTAAATATTTAATTGTGTAAGTCTTGCCCTTGCACATATAGTTCATGCTCTTGATATAGAGAAATACAACTGAGCTATGACCATCCGTAGAAGTTATTTGTTGTGTAACTAATTCATATATGTTTTCTCTAATCTGTATAAAACCTTCTATCTTGTGAAAGAAAAAGAATACTATTTTTTAGCTCATATTTGGCCCCATCATTTTACATTCTCGTAATGAACAACACTGGCCTCTGCTGGTAACCAAGGTGGTGATGAGCCATCCGGGCTGCTGAAGGCACTGCCTTTGTCCAGGTGGATCTAAACTTGCTTGGGATTTTTGTTGTTTTTATTCATTTATTAATGATAGAAGACTTGTAAATTCATGAGAGATTCAAGAGTGAAAATCTCTAGGTTTAGCTATGGGCTTGAATGGACTCCAGTCATAGCTCTGGAATATACAATTCCTTCTAGTCTAATAAATTTAAATGTTTCTGCTTTAATACTGAAAATGACATTTTCTTTTAACAGCAAAAAGTTGAGAGTAAAAAGAGAGTTGATGAATTACAACTAAGTTTTATAAGAGTAATAACTATACAGAATACAAACACCTATTCTTTGAGGTATATTTGCCTTACTTCCCAGTATGAACCATCTTATTCATAAAATGCAATGGAAACTGTTTGACTATATGGGAAATGCAATGTAGATCTTCATAGAAATTAAAAATCTGTCAGAAAATACTGTTTATCCAAGTGGAGCAACTATCCAAAAGTTTACACAAATTTTCTGTATTTGTTCTCCAATGATTTTGCAAACAAAAATAAAAGAATATTTGTATTTTAGTAATATTGAGATTTTTTAAAGAAAATATAATATTTATTTGATAACCTATGCTAAAGACCCAAACTACAAGGCAACCCATTTTTCCTAATTGACTGCTAGTATAAGGCATGCTTTCAGGCATTGTCTCAATGGGCCTTAACCTGAGAAGTGAGGACACTCTCTAGAACTCTTGGGCTATTTTTCTCAATGCCCACTGACTGTGAACATTGACCAAACCTGGGAGGACTTTTGCTCCTGAAAGTTCCCATCAAAGATCCTGGAACTTATTTTTAAAAGATAAAATATTGAGACCAACATAGGCTAAAATACTTGTCTACATTGTCAAAGGAATGAAGAAACAGACACATGTAAACACTTGTTCCAGCATTTGTCCAAAGAGACTTGGAATATTATATCCTAAAGGATACTGCAAGATGAAATGTCAGTACAGAAGGAATAGGGAATAACTCATTGGGATGGAATTTAACTTTGGCAGTAGACATTCAATCAGGTAACGGTAGTGAACAGCCTTCTCAAAGTGGTAACGGGGAACGAAATCTGCTGCAATCAAAAGCTCCACAGTTATTGAGGTACAGGCCTATGTAGAAATAGAAAAAGCCTTAGTCACTATTAACCTCAAACGTACTTGAAATAGTGACCAGGTACATCTCCTGAGTCAGTGAATATGTTATAAAATATCAGCGTTTCACAGGAATAGTTTGTAGTTGCTACTTTTTCTTTTCTTTTACTCCCTTTCTCACTTCCTTCCCTTCCTCCCTCCTTCCTTTCTTCTTTTCTATCTTTTCCTTCCTTTCTTTTTTTGTGTTTAAATCATTAACTTCCAGTGGAAAACATTTTTTTCTATATTTTCGAGAATCACACACTCCATAAAACACTGTAACCTGGGCTTGAAAATATAGACATCATTTAGGGGAAGAAATACAACTTGCACGCAGGGTGCCTTTTGCAATACTTTCTTTTTCAGTCCCCAAATACTTCTTGACAAGATAGTGCAGCAGTGTTTGGAAAGCATTAGCACATCGACAGATGCTCAGAATCAAATGATTTAATAGGTATAAACTTTTTTTCAAATAATTGCAAAGCTTTGGTTTAGCCTTTTGCATACCTTGCATAGTTAATTACCTAGGCCTTAATGTTTACATGCAATGAAAGTATCTACGGATATAAACTACATAATTTATAATTGATGTAAATGGGTGTTATTATGTCAATTAGGCAGCTGTGTCCTCAACCTCTTGGTAAACAGCTATGAGTGATAAACTGAGTTTGCAGAGAGGTACCTTCTTTTCTTCATAGCAGATAAAAATAAATTACCTAGGCAGATCAGGCTGTCCAATTGTTCTCTGGTGAGGTAGATGGGAAATCCAGACCCTTTCTTTTGACCTGTTGACTGCAGCAAACGGTCAATTTCGTCACGCACTGCTGCCATTGCTTCTGGGTGCCGCAGAAGATAATACATTGCCCAGAACATAGCTGGAATAGTGTTTGCCACAGAGGCCCAGAGAAAGCCTAAATGATGTGCTGGGAGAAAATAAGTGAAAAGGAAGATTAATAGCGTTTATTACACTGATTAGATTTGCAGTGTGCTAATTAAAAGATGTTAGGACACAGACCCAGCCAAGGATCAGTGCATGCTAATGAGAACCAATAGGCTTCTGAAGTCTAATTTTCTGCTTAATGAGAATAGTTTAAAATGTAATGTGTATGGGGGGGCGGGGTGGTGGTGGATGAGATAAGAGGAGTAAATGCAGCTTAGTTATACTCTTTCTCATTATCACCATTAAGTATCTTGTTTTACCACCTCAGCAAAAAAAAAAAAAAAAAAAAAAAAAAAAAATCAATTATCACAGAGGGTAGTATCAGAGTAAAACATTTTATCATTAGCCAATTAGAAAGAGCATAAAAAATTCTCAAGGTCATCATTTTGTCTTTTTATTTCAAAGGTCTATTGTAAATTATTTTGTTTTAGGCAAGTACTCATTCAGAAGTTCTTACCTCCTATTTCAAGGTCCTCATGCACATAGTATTTCTCTAGGACATCTTGCCTCCTTTGTAAAATTTCTGACCATCCTTGCATCTTGTCTAAGTTTTCTGATGACAAGCGTTTTATAATATTCTTTCTAATAGACTTGATATTTCCTAGAAGCTCAATGGGTATGTCAGATACTAAATATGTGAAATTGTCATCAAATTTTAAAAAATCATCTCTTAGCTCATTAATAAATTTGTTGTTGTCACAAACAAGAAGTTTTCCATATATAGTTGTAAATGTGATATCAAATATTATTGAGCTGCAGAATGCATACAATTGTACCGTGTCCCAACTTGTGGTTTTTAATAGCTGGGATTCAAACACTTGTTTTAGATTTTGCATCATGCTTTCCAAGAGTATGTCCAAAGATTTGCCTTGCAAAAATTGATAGCAGAGGTGAAGCTCATCATTCATGTCGTGATTTTTTTGCAACTGACTGATGCTAAATGCTTTACGTACTAATTCATCAGAAAATACTCTAAAGCTTAATTGTTTCTGATTTTTTATCACTAGCTGGTACTGGAAGGGGTCCAGGATAAATGTTATGTACTTTCCTAAAAAAAAAAGAGAGAAAGAATATGAGTTCATTCGTTAATAAAACAGAAATAAACATCACAAGTTTAAAAATATTTTAATCAAAATTAGGAAGATCCTAGTAACTAAGGCACAAAGTTTAATACAAATCCATTTCATTCAAAGGTACACTACATGTTTCCTTTGAAAATTGAAAATGGTGGAAAATACTCTAGAAATATGAAGTTAAATATCCAGAAGTTCTTACTGACCTTTCAAAAGATGGTTTACTCTTCAAATTTTTTTTTAACTAAAGTACCCGAATTTTAAATATCCTTCAAATATTCTCATAATCCCTTGACTTAAATACATCTCATATTTTTCCCTCAGTAAAACAGAAAACAAATTGGCAACATGCCATTCCATTTCTGGGTATATACTTCATAAAGAGCTTTTTCATACTTAGGTGTCATCTCAGTTTTGTTCAAATACAATAATTTTAACTCAAATAAATGAGCATACTGTATGGAGCAAGTACTCACACATAAATGTCAACACTAGCAAAAATCCACAAATGCCAGAATTTTCATTTTTATGGATAAGGGAGATTAGGTAACATGTTCAAAGTCACATACTGACTCATGACTGACACAGGATTCCAAACTAGAATGCATCCATACATCCATTCATTCAGAAATTCATTCACCACATTTATTAAGATCCAGACACTTGGTTGGATCCCTTTCCTCTATAGATACAATGATGTAGAAAAATCATTGCATCCCTATGAATTGTGCCATGGCAGAGGTGAAACACAGCATAAGGGAAGCAGAAAGCAGAGTTTGCTTCAGTCTGCCTGAAGTTATCAGCAAGGGCTCCTTGAGGTGATGACATTTGCCTTTTCCACATGTCAGTGTTGCCCAAACTTATCAATTTAAAAACTTGGGATGCTTGTGAAAAATAGATTCCTGCAAGATTCTGATTCAAAAGGCCTGGAGGGGGTCCTAAAAGTGTCCTTTTTGATAAGGTCCTCAAGTGATTCTAATAATGAGTCACTTTGAGGAACACAGTCATAATATGAGCAGAGACCTTGAAGAATTGCTAGCTTACCCTTTGCATGTATTGGTTGATAAAGGTGAAGAAAGTCAAGAGAGGTTAATGATCAAGATCATGCTGCCATTTTCAGTGGCAGACCCTTGGTGAGAATTTACTCCCCATGCACTATTCTTTGTCTTCTCAGTAGAGTGCTGTTTTAAGATTCCATCTAATTAGAAATACTAAGCAGATAGTATTCAGTAATGACATTTAAAGTTCTTCCTGTAGAGAACAGGCATAAACTTTAGATGATCCTAAAAACTTTAACATCTACTTATTTATTGTCTTCATGTCATTATTCCTGTGTGTGCATGTGTGTGCGTATGTGTGTGTTGCTTTGTTAGCAGAACAACTTCTCACTTGTTATTTATGGTAACTCAAATGGCATCACAGAAATTTAATTCAATTTGGTGCAATATATTTCAAATAAAGTTTTAAAATAATTTTCAACCTAATCCTAGAAACAGATGAATATGTTTTTGTTTCACAATTTTGAAACACAACTTAAATTTTTAATATAGATGAATATACATGTGCTTGTGCTATAATTTATTTTCTAAAAATGACTCAATGACTTGAATTTTATTCACTCATTTTCCCCTTGATTAAGTCAATAATGGGAGTGGATCTAGGAATGCAAGTAAACCTAGAAGTGGCTATTCATTCTGGGCAGATCCCAAAGCTGGCTTCTACAAGGTAAACTAAATTTATGTATGTGTGTGTGTGCTCTGGGGAGAGCATAAAGGATTCAACCTGATTTAGGCATATTTTATGACACCTGTTTTGCCATAGCAGCTTAAATAAGTAAAATTGCCAGCATCTGCCTGACAAATAATTGAAAAAAAGATCAATTCTCTCATTTTGCAAAAGATATAATTTTAGGCAAAGTTGTGTGTTTTCACAGGTGGTGATCCATACTTTTCTCCTTTCACTAAAATTTTGCTAACTATCTTTGGAGTTATTTTAAATTAATCCCTAATATTAAGAGAGTGTATAAAAGATACAATTTGTAAAACACAAATCTTTAGAAAATATTTTGAAGTTTTTCCTACAGTTTTCTATATTCATCTAAATCTAAGTGGAAAGAGAAAACTATACTCAGACATGACATCATGAGCTACTTGTTATTGGGCCTACTGAAGTAGAGGCTGTATCCATGTTACATTTTCTGTTTTGTCTGTAATAATTGCAAATACACACATTCATTCTCATTCTCTCTCTCTCTCTTTCCTCCTCTCTCCTATCCCCACCCCTTTGGGAATCAGGGCCTGGGAAAAAACAATGAGGTTAATTTCAAATAAAGGAATAAAAGTTGAGTGTGAATAAAATGGTTCATGTTAGCAATCAATTACTAATATATTGCTTTTTAAAAATATAAGCAGTTGTTTGTATATTGGTTCTTTATGGAAATTAGTACTGATTAGCTTTGTTTGTAGATCTAATCTCACTCCTTTCCGGGCTCTGTTCACTCTCTCTGTATTTTCTCTTTCTCATTCTTATTTCAGTGTCCTTCAACATCAAGGCTTTGTGTTTTACCTACTATCTTTTTGACTGAGATGTGAATTGCGTTAGAAGAAGACGTTTTGATTTTCTGGATTTTACTTTTCAAGTGGGTTTGGAAGTACTAATAACCCTGGAGATGTTAGCTGGCTTTCCAACTTTTAATCTTCAGTATAAACAATTTAAGCTAAGTTTTCCAAAATTAATATTAATTTAAACCATCTGTCCACCATCTGCTAATGTGAGATGCAAAACCAGAGTTTCTTTGTGATCTTTAATCAGACAGTTAGGAAAACTCATATACATTCATAAAATGAATTTAAATTTCTTAACAAAGAAAATCTTCTGAAAAGGTATTCTAAAGGCTGTGTATTCTTGCAGCAAAATTAACTTTTGCTCCAGTGTGATTTTATGTAAATGAATGGCCAGTGTCAGCAGTCATGTTACCTAGTTTACAAAGATCACAAGGTAAAAACAACCACTCTTTGCCATGTTTTCCAAAGAGAAGAGAATGCTGTCAGCAGTTGATATGAAATATTGATTTAAAGAATTTCAGAGTTTCCATTTGTCTAAAATATAAATGTCAAAATGGGGTCCATATCTGCAAAAAATACAATATAAATCATTCTTAGATGCAGTAAATTTGAAGTAGGGTCAATATTTCTGGCATTTTCCTTGCCAATCATTTCATTCTCTTCCCTTTTTAGGAGCTAACTGGCCTTACAATATTAACTCTAGCATTCCTGTATGACCTGCACGAGAGCCTTTATCACCTCAGTAGCTTTTCCACTTCCTTTAAAATTCATTCCTTACGAAGGTAAAGCTACATAATTCAAAGTATGCTGGTAAATGCATTTCTAAAAATTCAGTCATTCACCCTCATGTCAAACAAAAAGTTTTGACAGCTGGATCATTACAAATTGAATTTTGATGTTTTCATTTCAGATATTTGGTGCTATACAAAGAGATATCCATGAGAATCGGCTGCTTAGCATAGAAATGTCCTGTACAAAAATATATCATGAAGGCCAGAGGATCACTTGAGGTCAGGAGTTCAAGACCAACCTGGGTAACATAGGGACACCCCATCTCTACAGAAAATAATCCTTAAAAAAATTAGCCAGGTGTGGTGGCACACAACTGTGTCCCAGCTACTCAGGGATCCAAGGCAGGAGGATTACTTGAGCCCAGAAATTTAGAGCTGCAGTGAATTATGATTATGCTACTGCACTCCAGCCTGGGTGACAGAGGGAGAACCTATCTCCAAAAAAAAGAGACAAATTTGAATTTTAACAATTTTCATAATTAGATACTTTTAATCTCTGTGTATAGCTTGTTTTTCAGTAGAATTATTTTTAATCTCAAGCTGAAAATACCAGTTGGGAGAGTGAAATATGAGTCAACTTTGTACTTGATGAGGATGGCCACATGTACATATCCCCTCTCTTATCAGGAAGATTTCACTAGCTGCTGACAGTGATGTACAGTGGTGCTTTGCTAGGGTGACATCTAGGGAAAATGATTCCGCTGCACCACCACACAAAACCAATTAGAGAACTATTTTCTGCGACAGGTCAAGAATTTACATGGTTTCTCATGAAAAGATGTACCTTTTAATTTCGTTATTAAGATGACATCTGTGTCCCTGGAGACTTTTGGGGATGACAATCATTTGCTCATCATGCAAGAACATACACTCAGTGAAATCACATTATGAGATGAGCGGAAGACTTTGTTCTTCATTTCACATTTTCTAAATGAGCTACTTTGAAAACTGATCGTTAGAACCATATACATTAACAGGATTTCTTGACAGGAATTTATTCTAATTCAAGTAAGAAGCAACAGGGAGGTATTGTGCACATTCAACTGTAGTTGTCTAATGTAGAGTTCAAAAACATAACCATGGTCAAATTATTTAGATGTTAGAAATTCAGCAGCTTCATGGTACGTGAGATTAAGAAATCAAGTGTCAGCTAAAATTGGCTATTTTTTGGAAAGTGAATAAAGTTACTCAAATCTGCCACAACGTTCTACATAATCATCTTTGGTTATTTTTGTACACTGTTATTAAAAAAAGAAAAACTGAATATTTCAATTACTTGTTCTATCTACTGATTAGAAATACCAGCATTATTTACAGTAAGAATAACTTTTTTCAAGTGAACAATATGGTTTTGATACCATAAAGCCCAAGGCTCACTTAGAGGAGAAGCACCAGCTCAGGTCTTTATTGGTATAGTATTCCAGTGTTTCATCAGCTCTAAGGTATTAGGGGTTTCACCATCCAATATTTGTTGAGAATCAGTCCGTTCTGAGCTCTAGACTAAATGTTGACAATAAAGAAACTAACAGAATAATGAAGGGAGACAGATAAGTGAATTGGCAATAAATTCACAATATATTAAATGCTCCTACAGAAGTGATACTGGGAGTAACTGCACCCTGGAGATGAGGCACCAAACATAGGAGGAGTCAGCAAAGGCTCTTGAGAGGAAGTAATGTGTGACTCTGGCCTCAGAAGATGAGTCCATGTCTGTCAAGTAAACAACACCATTCTGGCAGAAAGAACAGCAAGAGAAAGAAAACCTGGGGCCCCACTGGGTTTGGTGTGTAAGGAGGGAATTTCAAACAACATGGTGCATTCACAGTGTGTGAAGCACAAGGCGAGCAGCAGGAAGAGACTGGGATGGAAAGGCTGGCGGAGACCTGATCTTGGGGAACCTCATGAGGACTATGGTATATACCACAATTCTTCTGTTTCCAAGATGCATGATTTTTTTCCATTTTAATTTTTCTGAAATCAGAATGTATACAATTATTTTTGAAAGAGTCTTAGCCAGCTTCCAGGCGAAGAAGTAAGTTTTGATGAAACTGGTACTTTCTATCCATGGGAGAAGTCAATCATGCTGATAATTTCCTCCATTTGTATCATTTCTCCCAAATACTGCATTAAAATGGTAGCACTGAAATTAAGTCACCGTGGTTTCCAGAGGTTGCCTCTGACCCTCAGCAAAGTAGTTACAGGCAGAAAAAAAATTCTGGCTCTCTAAGAATAGACCATAAACTTCCAAGGCTGGTTGAAGGAAGGTGTAAGACTTGAGCTAAGAAAAGGCATGCATGTAGAAGACCAAGATAAAGAACCAGAAGGGGCAGTGTGGGGAGTAAAGGAGTAGTAGAGTATTTCAGGAAGGAACAAGAGATCAGCAGTGTAGAGAGGACTACATAGGTGGACCAAGGAATAACTTCAGTAGTGCTGAAGGCTGGTTATAGTTAGGAGGCTCTAGGAGATATGCAAGTAGAGATAGCAAATATATGCAAATCTCTTGAAAGAGCTGGATGCAAAAGAAAAGGAGAAAGTAACTAGAGGAGAACCTCAGGCATGGTTATAAGCGATGGTAAGAACCCGAGAAATTAAAAAATGAAGAATGCATGTGTGGGAGGAATGAGTCAAGATGTACCAGCCCAGAGGAGGCAGGAAGAAAAGGTCATGGGGACCTGGATATGGAGTGTCTTGAACATTCTTCAAAATTAGAGAAAAGGTGGTAGATCACTGGGAAATGTTGGTACACTTGGTAGATATGTGGGGATCTAAGGGAGATTATACTGAATGTCTTCAGTTACCTTATGAAGGAAGGAGAGTGAACTTCTGAAGGAGTGTTACCAGAGCCCCACTGAGAGTGAGGAGTGAGACTCAGCCTCTTCTTGCCCTCCCACTGGCAATATTCAGCAAGCAATGGAGTGTGGGGAATCTCGTGTGTAGCGCTCAGCTTTCAGAGCATAGACAGGACACACAAAAGCAAAGAGAGAGAATATCTAGAGCAGGCCATAAACTGATGTGGAAGATTGGGTACAAAGATGTCTATGATGAATTCCTTCCATCTCTCTGTATGTGCTCCCATGAAAGCTGGAGTCTCTTTCCCTGCCTTTCAATCTGGGCTGCATTGTGACTCATTCTAATAGAATGTGGTAGAAGTGAGACTTTGCAATATCTGTGCCTAGGCCTCAAGAGAACTTGCAGCTTTTTCTGTCACTCTCTTGAGACACTAACTGACATGTAAGGAAATTTTCTTGAGGATGAAAGACTATGTGGACAAGCAGTCCCACCCAGGCAAGTGATGAGACCATCTTGGATCATCCAGCCCCCATCCAGAGTCCAGATGACTCAAGTCACACAAGTGACTCAGGCCAGACCAGTTGTTTCATTAAGCCATTAAACTTTTTGTTACTCAGCAATAGATAGCTGATACAGCTAGATAGTTTGGGTCCCAAAAAAAGTGAGCTAAGAGCAATCCAGCTTCTCCTCTCAGTCCTAGAGTGTTTGGGGTGTGTAGCAATCTTGCTGGGTTTTGCTTCATTTGTCTGGGCGTTTTCGTATGTATTTTATTAAAGTTCAAAGTGCAATGAAAGTTTTAAAATGAAAAATACATTCTTGACTAGTAGTTGCTGGAGATTCAGAGGCAGGGAAAGAAGAATGAATAGGTGAAGCACAGGAAGTTTTTAGGGGAGTAAACCTACTCCATATGATACTCTGATGGTGGATACATGTCATTATACATTTGTGAAAACCCAAAGAACTACACAATACAATGGGTAGACTGTAATGTAAATCATGAATTTTTAATAATGGATCACTACTGGCTCATCAGTCATAACAAATATACTACATAGATACAATCAGGGAAACTGTGATTGGAGAGAGGGGGTATATAGGAACTCTCTAAACTACTAAATTTTCTGTAAACCTAAAACTGCTCTACAAAGTAAAGACCATTAATTTTAAAAATACATTCTAGCTTTTGTATAGTTACACACACACATATGTATATATACACACATATACATACATATATACATATTTTTTTCTTTCTACCATTCTTAAAATAAAACCAAACCAAAATGACAGGTGATGGCTGGCAAGCCAGGTTCCCTAAGTACCATGAAGAGAGTTCTGTAATTTAATTTTTAATGTGAAGATTGCTGAACTAAAAATAATTTTCTTTGACATTAACTCTACAAAATAAAACAAAAATATACAAATATTCAACATTTTCTACATTTCGCCTAGAGAAAAACAGAAAGACATTAAAGAAAAGTGAAAAATTATGACACATATAAGGTATGTATAAAAGTACTTCTTACCACCAAGAAGAACAGTGAAAGTGTCACCATGTTGCTTTTGAAGAGTTTTCATGAACCTTAAGGGGTCTTTTCGTAATTCCAGGACCACTCCAAAATAAGGAAGCCAACCTTTTATCAGTGGAGGCTCACCGGGTCTCCTTTAAGAAAAAAAAAAAAGATAAAAGAATGAAAAAAAAATCAAATCATTCTTATTCTAATACAGGAGGGTTATTTATTTAATCTAGAAGTTTATTGCATGAATTGCACTGCTTCTTTCTATTCTCTTACTCATTGATTCTTATATAATCATAGTCATGAGTTTACTGAGCTTCTCCAGTATGTATGATTCAATGCATAACTTCTGGTGAGCAACGTTTTATTTCAATAGTTTTGGGGATCAGGTAGTTTCTGGTTACAAAGATAAGTTCTTTAGTTGTGATTACTAAGATTTTGGTTTACCCATCACCCAAGCAGTGCAACTGTACCCAGTGTGTAGTCTTTTATTCCCCACCCCCATCCCAGTCTTCCCCCTGAGTCCCCTCCACTGAGACCAGGAAGTCCAGTATGTCATTCTTATGCCTTTGCATCCTGGTGAGCAACTTTTTGAAGAAATTGTGTCTTGCAAGGCCTGTATGGCTGATTAATAGTTATGTTACAATCCGTTTTATTTATCTCCTATTCTGTTTCCCATCATCACAAGTAGGTACCTATGACTACAGAGATCTCTAGGAAACTAAATCAACTGTTTGACATAATTTACTCTATGAATTGTTAGTTTGGCATAATACTGATAAAAAACAAATGATCAGCTGCCTGATTTTACTGGTCTTTCACAAGTCATGGTATAAATGCTGCTTGATCAATTTAGTCAATGAGACCTAAACTTAGTTTTGACTAATATTTGCATTTTCTACTATGTGCTTGATGATGTGCAGTGGAACAGACCAAAGCTAAGTTCTAGTCAAGCTGCTGTCAGAAATCATTAAACAATGTGTTTTAATTACTGATTATTTTGTTTTCTATTTAGCATAATGTTTTTATATGTGTAGACCAAGTAAGACTAACTCCACTCATTTTAAATTCCAACTCATTTACAGGCATTTAGGTCTTTCCACAAATAAAGGCTATAAGTTTTTTTCTTTTTTTAACTCAAGAAACCTTCAATTATATTCTTAGACCATACAGGTGTGGAGGGACGATGCATTATGGGATTTGAGGTTTTTTAAACCGCTTAAGTGTACTTAACATAGCAAATGGAGATGTGTTCTTTAGGATGTGCAAGTCATATTAAAGTATTTATTGTGCAATTTTTCACTGAATTGACTGATCACCGAGTTTAGAACTAGATGGCATTTTGGAGGCTTTCATGCAATTTCTCATTTTTACAGGTAAGAGTTCTCAAGGCCTAAGAGGTCAACAAACTTCCCTAAAGTCAGGCAAGGACAAGCTGAGCACCAGGATGCAAGACCTAGAGCCCCAAGCTGCACTCTGACCCCTGCAGGAACATTAGTCGGTCAACCTGTGGACCTAGGAACAAAAACCATCAAAGCAGCTCACTGCTAGAGCTGACAGACATTGTACATGTGAATCTGAGGCCTCTTGCTGTGCCCTGGGTGTTCGATGTTGGATAGTTTAATTGCCAAAGTAAAGCTCTTCGTTATCAGATGTGAATTAGACGGGAAATGCATAATCAGAAGAGAAACAATAATCTTAAGAATTATGAAAATCTCCATATTATTTCTTTGAGGTCTATTTTAATATATTCTTTCATAAAGTTTTTTATTCAAACTACAAATGAATAAGATTATTTGTTAAATTTTACTAATTTGCATTTTTTAATGTACAAAGCATCCTTTTGAATACTATCCATTAAAAAACAAGTTTTTTCTTTGTTCTTCTGTAATCTTGGCAAGACTATACTTCAAAATTTCTTCCTAGTTATGTATTTGGTGATCTCAATCTGATTTAAAGTAAAAAAGGTAAAAAGAAACAAAAACAGAAAACAAAGCCATTTTATCCTGGAAAGGATTAAAACAAATATTCAAAGGAACTCTGATTCTGGAGCCCATCTGGGAAGATGACTTGGGCTACATGCAGTGTAACCCATTTTGATTAATCACAAGATATTACTAGCTCAGATCTAATCAAAGATCAAGATTATGATCATACCCAGCCAGACTTTTATGTAGCTAGATTAACTCTATCAGAGACTTTTATTTTCCCACAACCCAACATGGTAGAATTAAACTTCAAAAATAAAACTCAGATCTTTCAGGGGAAAAACTGTTAAATCCAAGTTATGATAGAAATAAAGGAAGGATTTTGTGTTCTCTTTTTAGAAGACAATTTATCTTAATGCCAGTTTACCAAATGTATGCTCTTGTTTAAATGCATATACTTAGAAATAGGAAAACAAGAAACACTGCACAGAAATGGGAATCTTACTCATCATACTTTTCCCCATTATTTTCTTGAATGCAGCCTTTAGCAATGAAGACTTGCTTTTATGAGAAATAAAAGAAAACCAATAAAACTGTTGGTTCAGTTACTTTCATATCCGAAGATTGAACAAGAATAGACTGCACATGTGACTATAGAGTAGGCTCCTCAAGTTACAAACTGCTACAGCTCACATGCTATCTATCAATGACCCTTTCAAATTTGCAAGTGATCTAGTTTATCAAATTTCTTTTCAAAATATTGACTCTCTTCCTTGGTCTACTTGTACTCTGTTTGATTTAATGTTGCTTGAATGTTGCATTGTGACAAAGATTTAGAAAGGCTTTTTGTCTAATTTAATGCAACTAATTTCATCCTCTATGCTCTGTCATTCGGTCAAAAGCTGTATTCTTCATGGGGTTTCCGCGGGGGGAAAAGGATGGGGCTCAGAAATCCAAGGGATATTAACTTAACATTCAGAGTTAGGGAAGCACATTAGGAAGCTATTTTATTGTTACAAAGATGAGAGGGTCATCATTTCTTACAGCTGTGTTTATTTTGGCAGCACTAAGCTTAAGACTATTAAACACCATGTCACAATTGTGCATATTTTCAGAAAAATATATAGTGCTAGTTCAACTTATGACCCATCGAAGATAGATAACAGAAATCTGTCTTCATCAGTATATTCGTAAAAATTATTTAGGGAGGAATGACTTCACAATAATGATCAAGAAAGGCCTGCTGACACACAGCACAGCACAAATACTGCTATTTGTCTCTCTCATGTTCTACGACTTTGAAAATGAAATACATACTGGGCACTGCTGAGTGAGGATATAGGATGCTTAGTGCTTGTTGGGGATGATCAAGTTCCAAAACTTAAATAGGTACAAAAGCAATGATGGGAGCTAACAAATGCTGTGTTCCCTACTCCCTCATAATCTCAAACAATATGCACTTCCTCAAATCTTCTCATTACTATTTAAGGGACTGTGAGAACACATCTAGGAAATCACACAAATTTGAGCTTATACATGCTCTCGATAACTAAACCCAGTTCTATGCATGTACCATTGCATCGGTGCTTGCAGTTTCTTTCATACATGTTGTAGGGCACATCTTAGTGTATGCAAAATGTCATCTATGGTCCAAATGTATCTGGAAACAAATTTTGGAGATGGGAGTGGTGGTTCACGCCTGTAATGCAAGCACTTTGGGAGGCTGAGGAGGGCAGATCACTGAGGCCAGGAGTTGGAGACCAGCCTGACCAACATGGTCAAACCCTGTCTCTACTAAGAAAAATTAGTCAGCATGATAGAGCATGCCTGTAATCCTAGCTACTCAAGAGGCTGACATACAAGAATCGCTTAAACTCAGGAGGCAGAAGTTGCAGTGAGCCGAGATTGCGCCACTGCACTCCAGCCTGGTGACAGAGCAAGACTCCATCGCAAAAAAAAAAAAAAAAGTGAAATAAATGGATGTAAAATATAAAGAGGTTTGAAACATTTCAGTTAAAAAGAGGTACATTGAAATTTAAAAGAGTAGACCAACACAGAATACTTAATTTCTCATAATATTTGAAGTTCAGCTTTATGCTATACCTGTAGTTAAATAAATATGTTAAAAACTTGGCTAGTGACCTACTGCACATTTTTTTCCCCTGGACATTTAAAGCCCAGGGCTTCCTACAGCAATCTATACCTGTCAGAGTAGTTTCTTCTTTTCCATTTTTCCTGTAATCATTTCAGGCTAGGCATTCAGGTTATTGCAATAACCTACTAAGTAAGTGGTAAGCAACCTTTATACATGCACACTAACTAGAAAAAAATAAAATTACATATTTATTAAAAGTGTTTAAAGATGTAACATATTGTATTAGATGACCTAATATATGTAACAGTGCCTTATTTTTTTTTCTTTTCCTGAGTTAATGAGGATTTTCTTTTTGTGTATGTGGTTAAAATTTCAGAAAATACACAATTGATGCACATTACAGTATCTGATGATAATTCTGAATGTTTAAACAACGTTTTTTTTTGAGCAAGGCACTTTTGGAGCTGCTGTGTTTTACCTTTCTTTGACTTACTTTGGCAACAATCTCAATGGAAAATGTAATTTGCCTCAAGTAGTGTCTCTTGGAACTGAATTCTTGAAACATTCATTATCCCCACACTCTGATGTTAGCACAAGGAAACTTAGAAATGTTCCAACAATTCTTGATAATCAAGAATTGGTATGTTTGTCAGGATATTGGGAAGAGGATTATCTCAATACAAGGCTGTGGATGGGAGATCCCAAAGGAGGAGGGGTAGATGGAAGACATGGCTGAGTCTAGGCAGACCGGCAGTCCCAGTGAGAGTCCTGGTAGGGCCAAGGAAGCACAAAGCCACAGTGTATTGCTTTGCCAGGAAATGGGGTGAGATTTACAACCAACTGGGCACATTTCAGCAATAAATGGAAAGGTAGAGGGCTAGGCGCAAAGGTATCTGAGGAGGCACCCCGACGAAACCAAAGAAGACCAACAGGAACAATTGCACAACAGACTCACCAGATCAGCAGGAAGGAAGGGGAGAGAGACTCTTAAATTTTACTAGTTTTACCAAAGGGACTAGGTTTTAAACCAGAAGTGGCCAAACTATTGTCACTTCAGTGTTTTCAGTCATTAACAGAAATCAGGACTCAAGAGAAATTTGAGTTCAGATATGAAGAAATAAAG